TAGAAAGAGCAATTAGCTTACATGGAGCAATATGTTGCCACAGAGCAATTGCAGTTCAGGCAGTGTCAGTTGACCCCCAGTGTCATCTGCGAGGTTTACATGTGCAGGGCCCCCCAGAGCACTGTACCTTGGAGTCATGCTCTACAGAGACACACAAAGGCAGTTTATTTCTATTCAAACACATGGTTACACCTCTCTGCAGGTATTACTGCACTGATCACTCTCAAGTCATGCTGTTACATGCTATTTGTTATCTATTTTAACAGATGTCATCTGTTGTGATCATATACGCAAAGACGTCTTGGGACTTAGTCTCTGAGAGTGCACTGGATCTGTACATGTGGCTGAATGTATGTACACAGAGGAAATGTTTTAGTATGTATCATCCATGGTGTGGTCCAGATTCTAAAAAAATTCTTGAAAACATAAATTAAACTGCTTAGGCTTTTGGATACAGCTAGCCTACAAACACGACAGGTCTTGGCTAACTAAAGAAAAGACAAAATGTTTTCCCAGCTAAAGGAGAAACGTCAGCTCAATAAGGGAAGTCAAGACACCCAGGTATTCACCTGCCAGAGACAGTGCATGCAAGCTGAAAGGGAGATCTAAGATTGTGTAATCAGAAGAGGGCAAAGACTTCACTCATTAATGAAATATAACTGAGAGTTACAGGTCTGCACCTGCATAGAAGCCTGATCATCAGTTCCCTTGGGGCTGTCCAGCAGAAAAAGGATTGCATTCCAGATATTAATAGCTAAGCAAACACTGTTAAGATGCTGTTTGGGATTTGCATTTTTATTTTATTTTCCACTGTAAAGAAAGCCAGCTTTTCCACTAGGAAGAATGCCTGTGGAATCAGGACCTGAAGATTACAACATAAACTCTTTCTAACCACTGAATGTTAGCTTCTAGGAATGATTGCTTGACACAAGTGTAGGGAGTATTCCTTCAGCTATTTTTCATAGTACTGAAAAGGTACAGGAACTAGAACTAAAATAAATTCTGATTTATCTTGTCATCCTACGTGACAGTATCTTGTCTTTTACCAAAATCTTATCTTGAGTAAAAGTTACCTTAAGTGAAATTACTTTTGTGTCATCCAACCATTGGCTTGATTCCAAGGTTAAAGAAATTGCGGGAATTTTCAGGCTCTTTTTTTAAAAAAAAAAATCTTTGAAATAAATCAGATTAGTTCCCAAAATACTGATCCTGTGTATTCTCCCTTAAAATTTTCATTAAATCAAATAATAGGAAAAAATATCACAGCAGTGATACACATTTTTAAAAGGAGTACGAACTTTAAAAAAATAATTTACAACTCTCCTTTAATGAGTCTCATCTATTTTTACTCATGTTTTCTGTATTCCCATGGTCCTAACACTGGCATTTTTTCTGCTTTTTCTTTTTGTATAACAATAGTTATCCACAGAGCACCACTTAAAATCTTTTCATGTAATGGATATAAGAACACATTTGGATTCTCTTGCTATGATAATCTGAAAACACCAGTTCCTCAGGCCTATGTTAATGAGGTCAGATCATTCAACTTCTTGAATTATTATTTTACTCTCATAAATTACCCTTGATGTGTTTTGTCAGCAGAGTTACCAGATTAGCAATTTTCTAGGCATTTAAGACTGTATACGTCTGAGGAGCAAAGAGCATTGCTTATTCAGGTTTTTGTCATATTTCAGGTGGATTCAGTTTTCTCTCTGGAGAGAATATACACTATATATATTCTGGAGAATATACACTATCCATAGTTCAATGAAATCCAAATGACATTGTTAGGTTATTATTATTATTACAATTACTCCTTTCACTCCCACCTGTCACAACAAATCAACATATCCTTTACCTGTAAAAACCCAAACAACTGTTCTTACCTGAATACACTAAGAGAATTACAGACAAGAGTAAAAAATACTTTGTTGTATGTATTTTGAGTGTCAATTTCTTAATACTATGCCAAATAGCAAGAACTAACATAAAATTAACTTGAAAAGACAGTAAAAATGGATCTTTTAAGGCATTTATTGTAAGTCTGATTCACAGTCCTGAAAGCAGTTATGATGACCTACTTTCAAAAAAAGTTCTGGCATAGATTTAGTTATAAAATATGAATGAAGAAAACCACTGAAATAAAATTATGCTTTACAAAACACTTGAAAAAAGTTTCAGAGACACTGGTAGGCATTTCTTCACTGACTTCCATATGAGCACACGATTTATAAAAGCCTAGTTGCTGTAAATATGATCACAACTTTCTGTAGAAGTAGTATTGTTATTTCATGATACTGGTATGCTGTTTCAATCTTGATATATAAGAAGATACTTAGCTGATCAATTGAATGACATAATTTCTTCAGAAACTACCTAAGAACCCTTTATACTTTGACCAATTTCTATCACGTACAGGTACCTTGCCACCTGAGTATGCCCTGCCTCTACAGAAAACTGTACTTACAGGACATCTACAGCACATTAGTGTTTTGATCCCAGCCCCTGTATCAGTGCTTGTATCGATTCCTTGTGCAGGCACTTACCATCTGAAAACAGGAACACAATGAGATAAACCAGGGAAATTTATAAATTCATTAAATACATTAACTGTAAGTTTTAAACTTCTGGTGTTCATGTATAGCAGTGATGTCCAATATTTTCTTTAAGATGTACCAATGGATGCTTAAGATATGCAAGACACTTCTTTGTGATGTGACCTCACCCTCCCCCACCCAACAGGCCATCACCTTGTGTCACTGCAGACACAGCACCATATACATACTTCATCTAGGGCCTGACCTGTGGCCACAGGCTTGCTCACCGTTTGACCCAACTATTTAAATGATGCGCGTTCCTGTCCTGACAGGTGCAGCCGCGTGTGGCCACCAGACAAGACCCCTCAGGAGCACTGTCAAACAGGGCAGCAGGAGCTGGTGTGCAGTAACAGTCCTACAAAACAGCCCTACCCAACCGATACACCAGGGGCCTTTTCAGAAGGCGGCAGCAGGAAGTGCTCCTCTGACAACACTGAAATACTGTATTTCAGAACACCCCATTCACAGTCAATAGGGTCAAGAGATCTTGAGTACTTTTGAAAGAGTTGCATTTGTCCCTGACTTCAGCATCTGATCAGTTGTTGGGCAACTGATTGGATATAACAGAGAGAAAATCTTCAGATTACAAGTCCTAAATGACTAAGACAGTGTGGTATTTAAATCAAATCTAGGTAAGTCACATAATACAGATTCTCTCTAGTGCTGAGACATACTTGAACAGCACACGAAGAGTTGCCATCCTTCGTTTAATATCTCTTACGGTAAGAGAGACCAGATTAGATCAGAACTGGTAATGTAGTGCATTGTATTTGACTTGATACTCAAATACATCAATACAGTTACATACCTATGCACTATCACATGAGTAAAATTCAGACTTCTAGGGGAGCAAGGGGCTAATTTTTTTTCTTGCCCAACCGGACACTTCCCAGATCTGTATAAAGATTACTTATCCTTTGCCTTGCATTCGTTTGAACTAGAGAAAATAGAAATTTATATGAAACTGCCATTTCCGTAACCTGCAAGTGAGTTGGTAAAACATGAGACTACTGCAAAGACTTGCCTACTGATGGAGTCATCAGTGTTTGCATGATATTCAGAGCTTTCACTATTTATGCTTTTTTCCCCTCTTCCTCTTCATTCCCTCCTGTCTCATATCGCATTCAATAAGATGCACACTCAAGCTCCCTGCTCTCTTTCTGTACTCCTCCTCCTTCTGCACTGCTACCCCTCTTGCTTACCCTTCCTTTCCCTTCTGCTTTACTTCTACTCTTTCCTGGTACTTTAAATCCTCCTCCTCCTACAGAAGTTTACTTACAAAATTTACCACAATTTCTGACATTGCAAATCATTGTTTTGCTTCATTTACTTGTACATTAAAATGCTTATCACTTTGCTTTCACAATATCAACTGCAAACTTTCCAGAGAACTGAAAAATCTCTTATCCGTGTTTGAATGGTGGTTAGCACAATGTAGACTTTCAGACGGGACCGCACACAGCTGAACACTATAAACTTATGTTGAACCATATAACAATGTTACAACAGTTTTGCTTAAATACTGAACATACAATATATCTTATGTATATACCTTGAAATATAAAAATTATGTGTGCATAACGATATAAATTGCTTAAACACCTTTTTTATATAGATGTCATTTAAACACAAGTAATCTTTTTTCCATGTAAAATACACTCGTCCTATACAGCTTCCTTAATTGACAATGAGAGCTTTTCAGAGTGCATTATATGGATTTTCCCTGAAATAGGAGGAACATAAAAAAATGCATAAGATTTTAAACACTTTAGGCATCAAAGCAGAAAAACTCTCTATTTTTCCTAGGTAGAATATTTCAGTATCAAATTTTAATTGAGATAAACAGAAATTAGGAAAATTTATACTGATGGTGAATATGCTTGTAGGCTGGAAAGAAACTAATTAAAATGCAGTAAACCAGTTGTACTGAAGTAATAAAATATATAATTTTGTTCAGGAAAATTGTTTCATTTCAAAATTGCATTGTATGTTCAAATGTGAAAAAACCCAGACATATTGAAATACGCAAACACTATTTGTGACAAAAGCAAAGGAATTTTGCAATATTTCAGTGATCCTTCACAAACTCACAGGAAGGATTTGCCTCAAACAGAAGTACAGCAGTTCATGTTGGCTCCTGAGAAGGAAGGAATTAGTGCATTAAGCAGGTTCCAGCAAGCAGAAAATAAAAGCCTCAGTCCAACCTGTAAAGGATCTTTGCTAAAAACAAAACAGTTTAGTAAATGTCCAGAGAAAAAAGATGTTTCACCATTTTCTTCATTCCGTAGAATATTGTTGATTAGGCAACTTCAACAGGATATCCACATGATTAAACCATAATACATATGCATTGTGTACATTTAAATGACAACTGGAGAGTAGAAAAAAAAATCCAGTTCCTACCAGTTTGGCTGAGTTGTGATGTGCTACGGCTTTTTCGTGACAGGCCCACAATGGCGACCATCTTTGCACCGATGCTGGAGCGTCTCTTTTTGCCACCACCACCAACAGTGCCCACTGCCGTGTCCGACTGGCTGGCCTCATTCTTCTCCAGTGTGTACATGTCCCCACCGATGCTGGTGCTCTTAGTCATGTTCTTTCCTGAGGCGCCCATCTGTCTGCTTTGCATTTTGGATGTAAAGACACTGTCAGCCAGTGGATGGATAAACAGCGCAGACAAAGAAGAGTATAAAGGGGAAGACAGAAAAGGACAGGTTTCAGATGGGAGGTTTGGGGAGACTGGGGGGTAAAAGCAGCTAAGTCACACATGTAGGGTTTGGTTTTTGAGAGATAAAAAGGAGGAACTTTAATTCTAGGTTCCTCTTTGGTGTCCTGTAAATGTACTTGACTCATCAATATTTTGGTTTAAATAACAAGCTCTAATGATTACTGATGGTCTTAAAACTCATGACAAGCAAAAGCATATCAAAGAATTAATACAGCCGTATATCATATATACACTTTTTGCTTGGGAAATTTAAGTTCTGCGGTCAGTGCTCTGCCCTCTTCTTCTCACATATATACATACAAATAATCTGTATTCCTCTGGGAAACAGATACTTGATTCATTACTGAGCTGAAAAGGATATCAGTCTGAAGCCTAGTTTTGGTTTCTAAACATCCAGACATTTCAAGGATGTTTTCAGTAATCTGGTTTAGCTCAGTCGTCCTACAGTAATGAACAGCCAGAGGTTTTTTTGCTCCCTCTCTTCAGCAACAAATACATGTATTATATATGTATTTCATACAACACTTGGCCTCTATGTGACATAGATCATCATTACTGATAAAATGGCATTTAATTCTAATATACCTTTTGTACTAATTTATAGACTGTTTCTACATGTGCTGCCCGGCTGCATCTAAATTATCTGCTGCAGCATTTCACAACATGCCCCAGGCGAACCTGATCTCCCCATGGTCCAGGCTAAGGGACCTTTCCTTTGCACAGAAATTACAATCTACAGTGATGACAGCAGTACCTATCCAAATTTTGCCCTAACATCTAACTGGTAGGTGTCTGGAAAACCATCCAGATCTGGAAACTCTGGAGCTCATGTGGGCCTGAGAATGCATAGAGACCGTTTCTATTTCAGTGAAGTTCTTGCACAGAACTTAGACCTTTATTATTCTGTTCAGTACAGTGCATCTCACTAAAAAGTCCCCACAAGATACAGTCTTAGACAATCCACAAAACAGTGGAATATTTTTGGAAACCAGGAGAAATTCTTTTTGTGTTAAATCACCAGCATATAAAGGCTAACAAAGAATATTTTTGCTTTTTAAATGGATTTTCAAAAACATACAAAGGCTATTCCTAGAGCTTTACAGCTCAGCAAATGGTTCTAGAGTAAATTTTGGTGGCTGTAGCCACACTCCTTTCCCCTTACCTACAATGGCCTGAATCTATTTCAAAAAAGGAAGGTTTTATTGCTTCTTTATGAAGTTTTTACAATACATATTCTTGTCAATAACAACTTACCTATGGAATTAATACAGTGCCCTCAAAAGCAAAGGGATCGCTGAGTCTCTTCCCACTGATTCAAGGGGAATTGGGATGAGGCATCAGATTTGGAACAACAATGCAACTATTTAAGATATCTGAGAGGTATCCATAAAGTGCTCTGCTCTTTAGTTGACAGCTGCATGTGCATGAAGGCACAAAATAGTTGGAGTTAAGCCACAATCCAGAGGAAAACATAAGAGCAAGTGGGCTTCTAACATCAAGTAAAAAAAAAAAAAAACATTGAGTGTTCTTCTCAAGGAAGTTATAAGCGAAAATATGAATGACAGTTTGGATCAACAGATGGAGAGGCACAAAACAAAGCTGAGAGAGCACCACAGTGGCCTTGCCTGAACAGACAGTAACACTGGAACACAGTGGTAACCTGAAAGCTTTCTTCTTAACCTTTTTTAACTTTCTTTGTTGTTACATATTAGTACATACTGACTCACATTGGTACATTTATCACTAAGGATGTAGTGGGATAGGTAGTGGGTAAAGAGGAAAGCAGGCAAGAAAAAAAAAAGGGATCTGTATTTCTGGGTCTTTTTAGCACTATGATAACTTACTTGTCAGATGATAACATCACATGCTGTATTTTCTTTCAAACTAACATCTTTAGGGATTGCTTCACAGAAATGAGATGCACAGAAACTAGTTCTGAGTTCCAACACTGCCTTGCATATAAAAAGTACTAGAGATCTAGGAAGAACAGTGTGGGGAAGAGCTAGTATCTTCAATTTTATCTCATGCAAAATACTACTAAGAATCAGAAAATTAGACCCCCTTATCTAGTAATGCTACTTTTAACCTAAGTTCTCTAAGGAAATATGATTAGTGTGACTGTATGTTCTGTCAGGTCTCTCTCTTTTCAATATTTAAAAAAATCAGTTCAAATTTGACACAGGAGTAGAAAACTAAAGCTATGTAGTTTCTAAAACTGGTTTGAAAACAGATCCTTGGAGAGAGATCTTATGAATTCCCTTTGGGGGAAAGATTGTAGTTTAAGTCATTACTGAATCTCTGTTATTTCATGTGGGAGCTCATTTGCACACACAGACTGATAGGGGAAGTAAAATTTTTACTGCTTGCAGAACAATCTATTCCAATGATCCATTTTTCAAGAATGATATCTAGAAAAACAGTGGGTTCCTGTCATATAGAAAATAGTAATCATGTCATTGCTTTTTAAGTGATATTAATAACATTTAAGAAAGGTCTTATGTCATAGCAGTGAAAACAGAAATATTCTATTTTCTCATAAAAGTTACACTGAGGAGAAAGTTCCCTTTTCCTGAGTCTAATGTGCCTTTGAGGTGCTTCGTGTGTCATTTCCCAAGATGTATAATTCTATTTAAGTCCAATGGATTACAATAATTACCCTTATTAAAGAAATTGATGTGCTTAAAAAGGTTGGCATGCAGACAAAGTTGGTATAATTTCACTATGCAGTTAACTATGAAAGCACTATGCATTACAAAAATTTGCTCCTTGGCTGCTGTCTAAATGCTTTTGTATCACAAAATGAAGTTTTGCTGCGTACACCTGCCAACAATGAGGTTGACTTCATTCAGTCATGTTCTTTTGACCAACTGAGAAAAGTAGGAAAGACAATTCAAGTACAGAAAAAGGGATTTAGGTTTAGATTTGTGTGGATATACCAAATACTGGTACAAATTATTAATATTGAAAGTTCATTCACAAAACTCTATTTTTTTTTCTAGTCGAGTTCTAAAAATATTTGCTTTAATTAAAGGTTAGAGTTTTTCCCCCCTCTCTAAAAGCAGCAGGGAAGATATCTTTGTTATGCTCTCAACAAGCCAACATCTCCCAGAGAAAGCCATCACATCATAGCAGTGCCTTTGTTTTTTCTCAATTCCTCTCTCAACAAAAAAGCTTTGAAATAAGTACTAGGAGAGCTCTGAGTGGCTTATAGTGCCTCATAGTAAATCTGCAGTGGTCATGAGCACCTCCTTCATCAGCACTCTGAACCCCTTCTGGCCATCCAAACCCTCACTCACTAATTATTCTTGGTAGTTGCTTGGTACCCTCACCAGTGAAGCTATCCTTCTACCCAGACTGCCCTTTGACAGTGGTAGAAATGGATTATTCTCAGGAAAACTGGGTGTTGTATGTCAGGTTTGTTTCCTTTCTGAGGTAACAGAAAGATGGACTTAAGAGTAAAAGAGAGTAAATCCTACAACGTAGTCTCCTAACAGGAAACAGGAATTACTGGAAGTTTTTTTACATGTACATATACACAAAAATAATCACATGCACACACACATCCAGTTAAATATGTACAACAATATTTTAAAACTGACATTAAATAAAAATAATTTATGAAGTGATATGAGTCCATGAATAGATATGCACTAAACCCAGGGTTCTCAAGGTGCCTTATAAGATATTAATCTTCAAAATATCTTCTGCAAAGAGAATATGCAGCTAGATGGGGCGGGGGGAAGAATAAACTATGCTAGTCCTAATCACATGTGCATAATGGCATAATAATCACCCTTATTAGAATCAAAACAAGAGCAAAATCATCACACAAGCCCAGCTGCATGGCAGCCCACAGCAATAGCAGAACGAAGGTGGCAGCCAGGCCACTGACTTTGGCTTAAGGGGACCAACCAGTCAACAAGGGCAGGGTGATGGGCAAATCTCACACGGGAACTTTGCTTCCTGCATTACCCCTAAATCCAGGAAACCACCTGAGGACACCAAGGACTGCAGACAGGTCTCTGCCTGTGTAAGTATCTAGTCAGATGCTTCAATTTTTGAGTGAACAGAGAAAAAGGAAAGATTTCTCTACTCACTTCAATCATTTGCTTTTCCAGTTTTTCTCAGTTGAGAGGAGTAACTTTGCACACTCTTCCTAAAATACAGCCTTCCTCTGTAATCTCTTCACAAACAAGCAGAGTACTCAAGCTAAATGACTCATAACAGCTAAGTGTAAAACAAACCCTGAAATCTGATCATCAATTAAAACAATCTGCTTAAAGCAAACTCAAGACAGGTGTTAAGTATTTTTATATTTTCCCAGGTGATAATTATTCCAGATAGTCACGGTCAAGTTAGGCATGTCAGCTTCCTATGTATTTTACAGTACATTTTCTTAACTTTGTCTGTTTGTGGCCCGCTACACTATGGATAAAAGCTAAACCAGAAAGTTCTTCAAAACAAACAAGAGAAAAATAAGACATCAGAAAATAAATTAGAGTAGGACATCTATAAATACTTGTAATTTAGAGCCAATGGTGGAGTACGACGACCCTAAGCACCAGATATTATTCTTAAAAATATACCATGCTAACGAACTGAGGGGAGTCAGACTGACAGATACCTATGATAGGAAACTTAATATGGTCCTTAATTGTCATTGAAGACCCCTCTGCCACACCTATAGTAGTTAATAATGTGGTTCAGGCCTGTTCTCTGACCTTGACAGCCTGCATACACACAGCTAGCTTACATCCTTCCCAAAACAGGGTTTTCTCAGGCATACCACCTAGAGGAAACAGACTCTGACCCGTGCTATCTCCTGGGCTGATTCAGGGGCACCTTATTGGTGTGTCCAGCACAAAGCTATGCCAAGGAGGACACAAACTTTTAAGCAATATGGATGATCAAGACCAC